TCATTTATTAGGGTTACTCTTCTCCAGGGGGGGTGTTCTGTAATTCTATCAATGTACTGCTTGTGTCACTTGTGTTCTCATACAGCACTCTACTTCTCCCTGCTTCAAGTTCCCTCCCAATGGAGCTATCCTGCAGGACCTAGGTTCCCCAGGGCTGGGTTCTTCCAGCCCCAGAATCAGACGAACATACACATTAGCAGAGCGTGTCTGAGAGGACCGAGTTAATCAGCACTCCCAAGATGACCCCTTATATGTCCCTGGATTCAGTAGGCTGGGTCGAGCAGCATTTCCAAGCTGTCCCCCTCATATGCCCTGGGCACCTCACCGGAATAGAGTACGCCTGAGCAGGCTGGGTCGAACAGCACTTTCAGTCTGCCACTCTTATATGCCCCTGGACTCAGCAGACTGGGTCGAGCAGCACTTCCAAGCTGCCACCCTCATATGTCCCAGGTTCAGCATGTCCCTATCCCCACTTTCACATTACAATTGTACTGGCAGTAACCCACTTGATGAGCAAACCCCACAGGATTTTTGGGCGCTGCAGGGATCTTTAGCTTAGGTACAAGGAGTGTTGCTGCAGAGCAAATGAGGAAGCCAAAAAACAACCGGGGGGGGGGGGCAAGGCAGAGAGAGAGAGAAGCAACCAACTTAACCATGAAAGTTATTTATTGCCAGGTAATAAGCATAGGGGAGCCAAACAAACAAAACAGTTATAATATTAAATCTAACTTAAATTTGATTATAAAAGTCAGGTTTCGAAAACGATAACTGATCACAGAAGGCAATACCTAGAGAGAGAGAGCTGGGTTCTCACCACTCCGTGAAGCTTGAATCAATCGGGTTCCCAGGTGATGGTAGCTGAGGGTCAGAGTGCTGGAGACAGGCAGAGGCCCCAGCATGATCAGTCAGGAGAAGATGAAGTCCCAATAGAACTGATGCAGATTTTGGATCCAGGCACTAGAACACTTACTTGAGCATGGGTAGAGGGTTTTTGTAGGGAAACAACAATGGTTCAAGGGAGAACAGTAGATTTGTTTATGGGTAAACTGATGGCTCAAGGGAGTATACCATGGTCGGCAAACTACAGCCCACGGGCCGGATCTGGCCTGTCAGGGCTTTGGATCCGGCCCGCAGGATTGCCACCCCTGTGGCGCCACATACCCCACGCTGCTCCTGGAAGCGGCTGGCACCATGTCCCTGCAGCCCCTTGCGGGGCAGGGCAGAGGGCTCCACACGCTGTCCTCGCCTGCAGGCATGCCCCACCGCAGCTCCCATTGGCTGGGAATGGGGAACCGCGGCCAATAGGAGCTTTGGGGGAGGTACCTGCAGGCGAGGGCAGCGCGCAAAGCCCTCTGCGCCCCCCCCCCCCACACACAGGGGCCGCAGGGACGTGGGGCCAGGTCAGGCAGGGAGCCTGTCTTCGCCCCACTGCACGCCACTGCCATCCCGGAGTTGCTCCAGATAAGCAGCGCCAGGCCGGAGCCTGCACCCCGAACCCCTCCTGCACTCCAATCCCCTGCCGCACCCCACACCCTCCCACTCCCCAACCCCTGCCCTGAGCCCCCTCCCACACCCCACACTCCCTCCCACACCCAAACCCCCTCCTACTCCCCAACCCCCTGCCCTGAGCCCCCTCCTGCACCCTAACCCCTTGCCCCAGCCCTACATTCATGGCCCTGCGTGCGATTTCCCCACACAGATGTGGCCCTTGGGCCAAAAACTTTGCTCACCCCTGGAGTATACCAAAGTTGTTTTGTTCAGGCTAGACAATAGGAACTGCTCATTCCTGGCTATGGGCCGTGTTCCTGGGAGGGAAATCACAATGCAATTAGGGAGCTTCACTATTTTGGATACCAATAAAGGATTTATCACTAGAATTGGTCTGATAACTACTGAGCTGGATGTGTGCAGGCAGAGGTTCATTAACATCTGGAGCAGAGACCCCCCCCACCCCATCATGCAGTGCTTCCCTGCTTTTCTGGTCCCAGAATTCCGTGCGGTGCTTGCCTTGGAATCTCTGTTCTCCATTCTGTATGCTAATGGCGATGCCTCCCTGTCCCATCTCTGATGCAAATGAGGCTAGGGGAGATTCCTTAATCCTGTTACCCTTGTCTGGAGGGGTTCAGGTGTGTCTCCCACAGCCTTTTCATTGCTTTTTGTAAGTCTTTCTTCTGATCGGTTTCGGTTCAAGCAGAGGGTGTGGGGGGGAGGTCTTTCATGAGTCAGACAGGCTGGATACTGTACCCTGGTTCCCCAAGAACACAGAGCTGGTAGGTAACACTGTTCACATGCACAAAGTTGAGCCGCTGAGGAAGTGTTTGTATAGTTGCGCCCTAATTCTATGATCATTAGACAGATACATTCCCTTTTAACTTCAGTGGGAGACTGCTTGTTTGAATAAGGACTGCAGAATCTGGTCCCTGGTCAGCAGCAACTGGGATCCCTTTAGAGTGAGACAATGGATTGTTATTGGGAAGCAACCTCATGTGTTCAACCCTTGAAATGGCACACGTACTCTGTGGAGTCTACACTGAGGCTTCCTCATTGAGAGTGAGATCAATATGAACCAATACAAACAATTACATTAAACCTCTAATAAGTGGAAATGTAAGAGTTACAAACGAGTACTTTGTGATCTGAGGATGCGTGTGCACAAACAAATAACGTACATTGTTCTAGTGAATTGCATACCCAAAGTTAAAATATCCCAGTGGTTACATGTCTGTTGCTACAGAGAAGACTGTTTGCCCAAGGATGTATTAGCAAATATCCAGGAAAATATTGAGATGGGCTGGAGGCTAGAAAATAAGCCTTATGCCAAGGAGAGATTAATAAAAAGGCAGCACATGCTCCCCCGTGTCTTTAGTCTGTGAGATTGGCATCTCTGGGGAAGCTCAAGCCACACTTTCAGATAACCCAAAGCAGTATTTTTGCATTCTTCCTGGATCCTTTAACTCTTCCTCCACATCAGATATGGCTCTTAATGAATAGTTTGCACTTAGTATTCTGCAATAGCTAAACAGCCTAATGTGTTCCGTTTTGCAGAGCTGCTCCTCTGCAAGAAAGATGAACTTACCCAGGCTGTCCCTACCATAGTGAGAGAGAACATTGTTCTAAATTCCTTTATTTGTTCCCCACCATTTTTGGTGAAAGAATCCCCTTGCACTTAAGCTGTGTAGGAAGGATCTTAGGCTTGGTCTACACTAACCCCCCAAATCGAACTAAGGTACGCAACTTCAGCTACGTGAATAACGTAGCTGAAGTTTGAAGTACCTTAGTTCGATCTTACCTCAGTCCACACACGGCAGGCAGGCTCCCCCGTCGACTCCGCGGTACTCCTCTCGTCTAGCTGGAGTACCGCAGTCGACGGCGAGCACTTCCTGGTTCGACTTATCGCGTCCAGACAAGACGCGATAAGTCGAACCCAGAACTTCGATTGCCAGCCGCCGAACTAGCGGCTGGATATAGACGTACCCTGAGTATCTATACCAATCCTTGGAGAAGGAATGCAGAGAGAGTGTTTAACTCCCAGCACTAAAGCCATCCAGCTAAAGGTTGTTTAAGAAGATCTTTTCACAAACCTGGCTTTTAAACAGAAACCTGCAGCGATAACTCCAAAAAAAAAAGGAAGGGGCGGGGAGGGCAAAAAAGAGGAAAAAAAACAAGAACAGTTTAATGGGGTCTTGTTAATACACTAATAATTTTATTTGTAAGAGAAGCCTTCAAATTTAAAAACAAAATTTGTATGAAAACATACTTTGGCTAGGGAAAAAGTATAGACTAGCAGTACTAGCATTGCATAATGCAGTGAGTGTTTACCATAGGGGTACTGTCCAGTCCAAGTGACATGAACCTCACTGGAAACTGCTATTGATCTTATCTAGTATATATAATTACTAGATTGGGGGTGGGGGGAAGAATTATCCTTTGTTTGATTGCAGAACCTCGGGCATTCTCAAGCAAAGAAACAAATATTGCTCATCCTGAGGTTTGCGCAAGGGCATATTTTCTTTTAAATATAACTACTTGTGCTGTTTCCTTTTTAAAACGGTCAGATTAAAGCAAAAGATATTTAACTGGAGTTTATCTGAAGTCTTCTTCCCCTTCCCCTCAAAACCTCCCTTCACCATCCTAAATAAATAAATAAATCAGTTTGTCACAAAACTAAACAGAACATTTGCGGTGACTGTGCACACTGGAAGCTTGTGCGTATGTATATATGAGTATTGAAGCTGAGTAAAAAAATTAACACATTTTAAGACAACTTCCTTTTGGCTTTTTTAAAATACTTTACTGAATTTGTGCACATTACAAAATACGTAAAATTAGAACTTTTGGTCAGTGTATATGTGTAAATGGTAATCAGCAAAAGGCAAAGGACATGACTGTTAAGTAGGACAGTGTCTTGTAAATGTTTGCCAGTGTATAAATGAGTGGTCATTTATAATGCAGTGCTCTCTGATCATTGCACCAATGTCGAGGGCCAAGATATTCTTAATTGATATAACGATTTTGGTGCACAAGTTAAGACATTTTGAAGGGGTCTTGCATTCAGAGAGCCTGTGCTCATCACTTCCTGAAAAATGGGCCTTTTTAAGATGTCTCGAGTTGAGCATCCAAAATCACAGCTCATTTGAGAAAACTCTGGCCCTGGTTTGTAGTGGGGTTTTTAAGCTTCCCTCATAGTCATCAGGTGGCATTAGCCATTGTGAAGGGCATTAAACTAGACGTGATTTGTTCCACTGTGGCTAATGCCACATTATCAGGGTAAATATTTCGTTTGTGCTGCGTTTCTAGTCTCTTAGCAAATTTGTCACATGAAAGGTACAATTAGAGTTGCCTCCTACTGTAATGTAAATATAAATGAGGACTCTCTTTTTTCATTTATATTTCATATTTTACCATCAGTATTTAAAATCTACTTAAGTTCTTTCCCTTGATTTTAAATTGCTCAGTTGTCAATATTTTCCTTCTAAACTATTGTTCACATTTTTTCTCAGACTCTCTTTCAGTCTCCAGTAACGATGCCAGTCCTCCTGCCTCCGTAACATCACTTCAGCCCCATATGATTGGTGCACAGAGCTCCCCAGGCCCCAAACGCCCTGGCAACACTCTGAGGAAATGGCTTACCAGTCCAGTGAGGCGCCTTAGCAGTGGGAAGGCAGATGGGCATGTCAAGAAATTGGCCCATAAGCCTAAGAAGAGTAGAGAGGTCCGCAAAAGTGCTGATGCTGGCTCTCAGAAGGACTCAGATGACAGTGCTGCTACGCCGCAGGATGAAACCATTGAAGAGGTTAGTGTTCAGGCAACTTTCTTATGGTTTGTAAATTCCAGTACAGGGCTTCTTCTTGAGCAGAGAATGACAGTCAAGGCATACATGGGACTGATAGCTGCATAAAACTGACACACACCCACAAGAGACCTGGATGAGAT